CCTATGCATGGGTGATATCACTGTACTCAGGAGATATTGCTGAACACATATTGGGGTGTTGTTTGGCAGTGATACATAACAGGATCTGTTAATTCATGCCTAAAGTACAATGTATGTGTAAAAAAACACGAAGAAAATTACTACCCAAAAGTTTGCCAAATGTAGCTGGTTTATTACATGTCAAAATTCCAAGTTGAAAAATGGATATGTGCACCTGCCAAATGTGGCCTTTTAGCCCCCAAACAATCCGACAAGCCTATGCATGGGTGGTATCACTGTACTCAGGAGATATTGCTGAACACATATTGGGGCGTTGTTTGGCAGTGATACATAACATGATCTGTTAATTCATGCCTAAATTACAATGTGTGTGAAAAAACACACACAAAAAATGACTACCTAAATGTTTGACAAAGTCTGGTGGTAGAATTAGTGCATGAAAAGTGTTAAAAAACCACCATTTGAAATACCCTAGGGTGTCTACTTTCCAAAAATATATGGTTTGGTGGGGGTAAAATACATTGGCCGGCCTTAGAAATGTCCCAAATAGGACATGTGCGCAGGTTGACTACATGTCAAACTTCCAAGTTGAAAAATGGATATGCGCACCTGCCAAATGTGGCCTTTTATCCCCCAAACAATCCGACAAGCCTATGCATGGGTGGTATCACTGTACTCAGGAGATGATGTTGAACACATATTGGGGTGTTGTTTGGGAGTGACACGTAACACGATCTGTTAATTCATGCCTAAAGTACAATGTGTGTGAAAAAACACACACAAAAAATGACTACCTAAATGTTTGACAAAGTCTGGTGGTAGAATTAATGCATGGAAAGTGTTAAAAAAAAAACACCATTTGAAATACCCTAGGGTGTCTACTTTCCAAAAATATATGGTTTGGTGTGTGTAAAATACATTGGCCGGCCTTACAAATGTCCCAAATAGGACATGTGCGCAGGTTGACTACATGTCAAAATTCCAAGTTGAAAAATGGATATGCTCACCTGCCAAATGTGGCCTTTTAGCAACCAAACAATCCAACAAGCCTATGCATGGGTGGTATCACTGTACTCATGAGATATTGCTGAACACATATTGGCCTGTTTTGTGGCAGTGACACATAACACGATCTGTTAATTCATGCCTAAAGTACAATGTGTGTGAAAAAAACACACACAAAAAATGACTACCTAAATGTTTGACAAAGTCTGGTGGTAGAATTAGTTCATGGAAAGTGTTAAAAAACCACCATTTGAAATACCCTAGTGTGTCTACTTTCCAAAAATATATGGTTTGGTGGGGGTAAAATACATTGGCCGGCCTTGCAAATGTCCCAAATAGGACAAATAGGTTGACTATATGTCAAAATTCCATGTTGAAAAATGGGTATGCGCACCTGCCAAATGTGGCCTTTTAGCTGCCAAAAAACCCGACAAGCCTATGCATGGGTGGTATCACTGTACTCAGAAGATGTTGCTGAACATATACTAGTGTGTTTTTTGGCAGCAAGACATAACAGGATCTGTAGGTTTATACCTGAATTGCAATGTATGTGAAAAAAAAACAAACAAAAAAAAACTACCTATGCAAAGTTTGGCAAAGACTGGTGGTAAAATGGCTGCATAGAAAGTGTCAAAATATCCTTAGATGAATACTTTAAAAAAAAAATATATACATGTGGAGTGTTTTCCAGAGATTTATGACAGATAATAGTGTTACAATGTCACTATTGATACATTTTAAAAATGTTTGTTTTGAAACCGCCATATCCTACTTGTACCTATAGCCCTATAACTTGCAAAAAAAAGCAAAAAAGCACGTAAACACTGGGTATTTTTAAACTCAGGACAAAATTTTGAATCTATTTAGCAGTTTTTTTCATTTGCTTTTGTAGATGAGTAAAAGATTTTCCAAGTAAACGTCAAAAAACATGAATTTTTTTCAATTTTTCATCATATTTTTTCATTTAAAAAAAATTAAATTATATGAGATTATATAAATAATGGTATGTAAAGAAAGCCCCTTTTGGCCTGAAAAGAACAATATATAATTTGTATGGGAACAGTAAATGAGAAAGCGGAAAATTACAGCTAAACACAAACACCAGAAAAGTGTAAAAAGAGGCCTGGTCGCAAATGTACAACATCGCAAAAACAGTCCAGTCCTTAAGGGGTTAATCATCAGGAGGAAAAGAACTGACTGATTATTAATATCAAGCCAGAATTAATGTAATAATAAGACAAAGGGGATAATTTTTTAATTTGAATTTGCCATGTTTATTTGCTAAGTTAGATTTGGGATGGGGGCGGAATAAACTTTGGACCTTGACTAGACTTTAGTCTCGTTAGCTGCTAATAACCTTACATATCTAAAGTCCATGTTTTTGTTTGCACAATGCCCTTTGTTCATTTCTAAATCTGCTTCATTCTTCTTTCTAACCTGTGTGCCTTCTCTTGGGACTGCTTATACACTACTCACTGGCTGTGAGCTATATAGTTAAACAAAAAAAAACTAATATCCATACAACCTCTCACCAAATACAACTAAAACGACAGTCTTTGTTCCATAAATTCCTGTAACTGGAGCCCTCCTGAGTACGTAGTATTTGATCCCCTTCTGACATTAATAGAGACATGGATTTTCACCTGAAGTTTGGAGGAACCTGGCTGTAAATTTGTCAAGATTTACCACCTGCTTGTTAAACCTGAACGGTATTATCAGTTTACTGAGTTACAGTTGAGGTCAATGTACTTAAAGAGTTATTTACTAAAGTGAGAATTGTAGGGAACTGCATTAATGTTTGTTTGTCTCTTATGTATATTATCCCCATTAGAGATCATGGATCAAACCTCACAAAAGAATTTTTAAAAAAACAACCATCAGACTAAAAAATTTTTTAAATGTAATATTACTACTCCCACCAGAGCCGGATTACTCATTATGTGACCAAGGCGGATGTCTAGGGTTCTGAGTGGGCCATCCTCGAGCTGTCAAGGAGATCAGACGATTTTCCTGCATGGCCCTGTGCCCCTGTAGGTAGAGAGCACTTTAAGAGTACCACTGCGCCACCCCCCCTCGCAAGAATTTCTTAATGACTCAAAGCGAGGGCGCTCTTGAAGAGGTCTCTAACTGATATTGGTACAGACAATGGCCCCCGTACTGGCAACAAGGAATCCAGTTTAATCTCCACTGGATCACCAGGGATCTTGCTCACCCTCCACTGGACTAGCAGGGAAGGTAAGCTGATGGGCAAAACATACACACATTACTCAGCCACAATTCAGCTACCACACACAACACAACCAGCACACACATACTGTCAGCCCCCCATACGGTACACACCCTTGTCCACACACAACACTACACATACTCACACACATAACACTCAATCAACACACATTATTAACAGACAAAGAGCCCAGGTCTCTCGGAAGGGGCCCCAATATGGCACAGAGTCCTTAATCCAGTTCTGACTCCCACCATGCTCTTGCTCTTTAATTCTGTGGAAAGGGAAGAAAGAGTGATAACTAGACGTCATGCTGAAAGTTTAGTTTTGTCCGAGTACATGCGCCTGAATTTTTGTTTTTTTCGGAACCAAATATATCAGTTTGATCATTCCTTTTCAGACAAAAGTAATTTTTTTTTTTGTACTGTCATTTGGATCCGTGCTGCAGCTGCATTTTTCAGCTGCTTAGCAGGTAACCCCCTACACCGGTACCCTTGTGTGATTGCCATATTTAAGGGTTCCAAGTTAGGTAGCTATTTAATAGGTAGCTCTTTTTTGGTATCCTTATGGAAATTTCACATAAGGGTTAGGGACCTATCTACTAAACTAAAAGACCATAGTTACAAAAAGCTTTTCCTTTTTCGTGATTTTGGTCTTTCAGACACCTATACTAATACTATGTAAAAATAAAATACTAAATACTTATTAGTAAAGCACTATGGTTAAATCCTCCCACCATCTGAGTAGGAGTGTGTCTACTATAAGATACAATAAAAATGTCTAGCAACCGGGCAACTATTGCTATCCAATTGCTAATCCAATTAAGGGTGCCTGGCACATGTCCCTTATACCCCTATAGTCCCCCCATGCCCCAACCTCTGCACCACAAGTTAGGGCTATTGCAATAAATGAATAGTTGTTTGGAGATTCCTAGTCACCAGAGGGGTTAATTTTAATGTTAGTTTTAATAGGAGCTAATTCAGCTGCAAGTATTTTATGAAAGTCCATCAATAGTACTTTCAGGTCTTGTCTGGTCGTTGGTGTGGTGTCAGTGGGAGCATCTGATGGCTGCAGGTAAGTGTCCGCCGGCCTCTCTGCCCTTGCTTGCTCAATTGGGTTTGAATGGGCTTCAGGCCTTGTACCAGTGACCTGCCGTGCGGGCTCTGCGGGTGTGGGTTGGGGTTGCATGGGCCTCTTAATTATTAGCCATGACTGTGGGCTGGGGTGGACAGTAGGTCCACTCCCCCACTTTATTATTTAGAGACCCCACCTGCCACCAATGGGTGGGGTCTGGAGAGAATAAAAGGTTTACATCCTTTATTATTTAGTACCAACACCCGTCGCCAATAGGTGGGTGGTATTTAGTGCTCATACTCACCACCACTGTGTTGTGGGTGGGTAGACAATAGGTTTACCCGCTGCAAAAATTATTTAGGGCATTGGGATTGGAGGGTACTATAGGTCTATCCTTTTCTTATTTAGGGCCACCACCTGTCATCAATGAGTGGGGACTTGAGGGTACACTTCCCATTAATATGTTTGGGGCCCCCACTTGTCGCCAATAGGTGGGGGCTTAATATGTCCCCCCCATTAATTTTATTTAATAGTAAAAAGTGGAGGGGGCGGAGCTCAACCACCAGCCTGAACAGACGCCACGCATGCAAGCTCCTCCAAATTACAGTGCAAAATCCCCCAAAAAACCCCAAAATTAAAGCCCAGACGGACCCCAAAACCCGACAGTCACGTCCCCCAATACCACCCAAGGCGATAGATGCCTTTTTTTCAACCAAAGGCCCAGCCCGGACGAAAACGGAAAACCGGGGCCTACCCCACATTGTCCCTGCCAAGCCTGGAAGCACTCCTCCGGCAACAGGCGAACGACGGGAGCCCTCTCCAAGCACCACAAGAGGCCTCACCCCACACGCCAGCGATGGGTCGCCGCTCGCAAAAGACGGCGGCTGTGGAGCACAGAGACATCGGAACGATGTTCCAGAGGCCCATGCAACCCCAACCCACACCCGCAGAGCCCGCACGGCAGGTCACTGGTACAAGGCCTGAAGCCCATTCAAACCCAATTGAGCAAGCAAGGGCAGAGAGGCCGGCGGACACTTACCTGCAGCCATCAGATGCTCCCACTGACACCACACCAACGACCAGACAAGACCTGAAAGTACTATTGATGGACTTTCATAAAATACTTGCAGCTGAATTAGCTCCTATTAAAACTAACATGAAGGCCATCACAGACCGAGTACAGGCCTCGGAGAGGGACATAGCAGACGTCCAGACAGAGGTACAAGACCTCCAGACCTCGGTCCAACAACTATGGGCTCACCAAAGAGCTGTCACCTCACACATCACAGCAATGGAGGATCGCCACCGCCGTACTAATGTGAAGATAAGGGGCGTCCCAACCGCAGTGGCGGCGGACGAGCTCCCCCATTATGCCAGACGGTTGCTAACCACCCTCCTGTCCCCCACGGTAGCCAAAAAAATTAATTTGGAAGAAATCTTCCGCCTACCAGGACCCAAGGGGATGACGACAACGGCACCAAGAGATGTGATATTAAGGTGCTCCTCAACACACGATAAAATACTCATAATGTCAGCACTTAAGGGCAAAACTCCCTTGCAATTCGAGGAAGCGTCTCTGACGTTTTACCAAGATCTCAGTAAAACCACCCTCCTGTGGCGAAAAATGTTCCAACCGGTAACCAGCCAGCTTCAATCAGCTAAAATAAGCTATAGATGGGGAGCAAACGGATCCCTGATGGTATCCAGGAACGATGGCGTACACACACTCACCTCTATGGAAGACACTGCACCATTCCTGACGGCCCTGGGACTGGCACAGCTGCCGGACACTGCACGACAGAGTGCCTCCACCTCAACGTCAAGCTGGGACCCGACGCATGCAACAACCTTCATCCCAAGAAGGGGGAAAGAGAGGACGGCAGATCCAGGAACAAGCACCAGCGAGGACCCAACCTAAGACAACAGACCGACTAAAGTCCAGCCAGCCACACCAGTCGGTCTATACGCTCACCACGGGACTATCTGCTCAGGACATTATATATACCCCAATGTTCTCCCAGTTTCTCCCCCCCTCCCCCATACCCTATACCAGGGACCAAGCAACTGTTTAGGGACCACATCCACAGTCACACAGGTAATCACACCTAAGGTTGGGGACACAACCAATGCTCTACCCCCCATAACGGGGAGCAACAGCATCCCTCCACACTCACACACGAGGCAACCGCCAAACAACTCACGCATCCACCACCCCCCCCCCGCAGCTCCCATGGTCAGGAGCCACTACAAACGTAACAAGGCATATCTCACACACCCAACACCTCCCCGGGACCCAAACAACACAGCCTGTATGCCTTGTACTGAAGAGGCTACATACCACGCTACACTACCAGCCCACAGGCTGAATGAACAAGCCATAGGACCCTCAACGAGCAACCACAGCACACCGACTCTCACCCATAGATCAGCTAGCACATACCACACTCAACCACCTCAGAATAGAGGGATGACACGATAGCGATCAAGGCCTACACAAACATGTTAGAAAAATAAAATAGTGCAAGAATGTGCTACGATCTGGCCTCCTTTTAACAAATGTTGTAACGACTATGTTTTGCACTGAAAAATAAAGAATTTAAAAAAAAAAAAAATAGTAAAAAGTGCAAAAAAGGCACCTTTTTATATCTCAATATAAGTAAGTGCAATGTGCTAATTTTAAATAAGCTGCTCTACGCTATTAAGTGTTGCCTTAAATTACCAATAAAAAAAAAACACAAAATATATTAACTGTAGCGCAGCTCTTTAATAATAACCTTTCCACAGGTGTATACCAAAAGTGACAACATATAAATTTGTGCTTCCAGTGACACACAAAATAAAAAAATAACAAATGTTAGATACAAAATAAAATATCAATATATACTGTCAAATAAATATACCCACTTTAAAGTGCAAATGTCACATAAAGTGCCAATACAAATATTAAATATACTCAGCAGCAGTAGAAATTTACAGGGGCGTTAATAGCCTCAGAAAACAGAAAAGAAATAGCACACGTTTAAAATTTTAATTTTGCCACTTTTAATATACATTAATGTTTTTATATGAGAGCTGCACTATAGTTAATATATTTTGTGGGTTGATTATTTTAATAACCCCCACTTGCGCACATTATGTCCTCTGCAGTTAATTATTTAAATAGGTACCCCACCATGAAGGACCTGTGACAGGCCACCTTTATTGGATTAGCAATTTGGCAGCAACCAGTTTCTAGTTATGTAACATTGAGCAGTTGCTGGTCGCTGCTTAGTAGACATGCCCCTACTTGTTGTATGGCAGGTAGGGGCAGGAGGAAGGATTTAACCTCCTTTATAGTAATATGAGGGTCATATCGACCAAAGAAGAGGAGGGGCATGTTTTTTACAACGCATTAGGGAGCAGAGACCCACACCACTTCTATTTTTAAATATTTCAAGGAGGAAGCTGTGAGCCGTTAGCTCCCTCCTTGCAATAACTAAAAGGAATAAAAGTAGAAGGAATTGCATGGACAAAATATTGTCCAACAAGCAATTTGTTGTTGGTTTCACTAATTGCAATTTGTATTTGCTATTGCCAAAAATGTATCCAAAAACATGTTTATCCAAAAACTAGTGATAACATAGCAGGTATGTAAGTGAGCGAATCTGGCTAATCAAACAGGTTAGCGGTATTTAAAGCTGGCTTTAACTGTTCAAATGCTCCTGCTGCTTCTGCCTCCCTCAAAGAACATCATGATCGTGACCGCAGGTGACAGACAATGTGGCAGCCCCACTCTTGGTACATTCACTGCATATACCTTTTTCTCTGTTTCAGGTTCCATACTAGACTGGTGCGTAACTTTTCTCCCAAGTCGTAGTTTGTCCGAATTGTGGCTATCCGAATACATATATAAATATATATCACACCCTCTTTATCTCTTGTTTCAGTTGGCTATACAGTGTCTTCTAAAAAACAAAAGCTATGAATTAGAATTCGAACATTTATATAGCAAATAAAATCAGCCTAAAAATTTCCAGTTTTAGGGTTTCAGTTCCATATATGCAAACACAAACACTTTTATCCGCTGAGCGACAGTCTATCAGACACAGACATAATAAAGCTAACTAGATAAATAAAACTGATTGTCCTTGGAATCATCAATATCTAAGGAAGGGACCACAACATCATTGTGTAAGGATAGCAGTAGTCTTTGACTTGGCAACGCAAGCAGGAGGTTTCGAGGAACTATCATTAAACAGAAAGAGCTGGTAGAATGAAACCCCATATCCCTTTACCAGTTCTTCTTTTCCACTTTTTTCAAACTCTGTAAATGAACCCAATTTTTTTGATTATCTGTTCACATTTATAAGGGAGAAATAAAATTTTAAGGGAGTCAAGTGTCAAGTTTTATTGATTTATTGCATAGAAGTAGAAACATGTTTCTGAGTTGACATGGAAAACACAGATCACAGTTTATATACTGTACAGCATGTTTGTTGAGAGAATGTATAATAAAGTGCACGGCAAACAGCCTTAATTAGCATTGCATCATATGCAAGTTACACCTCTGGGACGTTGACATTATATCTACCACCTGCTGCAATGTATTCACATCACAAACATCCTTACACACAGCATAAATGACATTCAAGAGTTTAACCTGAACAAAAAACAATGTGAGCTCATACAAAGAACTTGTGATTGTAAATAGACCAACATAGACATCTTCAAGACATTATCCAACGACAATGTCAATGTAGCTAAACGAGTTCTTTCTGCTGGATAATTCAGGAACCTTCTAGTCTAATCTATCACCAAACAGCTTGCGGATATTTCTAACTTTTTTTGTGTTTTTGAAGCCATCCATTCAAGAATAAATACTGTCTAAGTTAAAAATAATATATCTGAATTTGTATGTTTTATAAAATGTCCAACAAAGCAATATCATAACCATATTAAAGGAACAGCATGATAGTATAACTTCAAGGATTTATAATATGGGTCTTCTCCCCTATCTTCTAGAGCAAATTAAGAAAAGGAAATTTAAAAAGCCGAGGGATCTGTTATACAATCAGGATATGACCTCAGTGACGGCTAAAAGCCACAACCAGTCTGGTCCTTTCACGATGATGCCTGTTCATATGGTAAAGTAGTAACATTCCTTGTGGAAAATAGACTGTTCTCTGCTGAATAATTTAATGTTAATTTGGAGGTACACTTCAAAATTGAAAATGCATTCAATTATACTTTAAAATGACAACTATCATCAACATGTCATGTCTTGTTTTTTAAAGACTATTACATTTACTGAAATTTACTGATTTTTTTTAAAATGCTGTATACTGATTTTCTGAAGAAATTTCTAATTTTTTTCAAATCTGGCTGAGCAGCTATATTGGGTCAGATTCTACTGTTTTTTGACCAACTCATGATTAATTTAAGTCCTCAACCTGCAGCAGCAGGCAAGTCAGACTGAGTAGCAGTTGATCAGATAACACTAAATTCTGACCAAACGTAGCTGCTCAGCAAAAATGAAAAGTGAAAACGTGAAATAAAAATAATCGATATATATAAATTATTAAAATATAATTATGTTTCATTGCATGTAGTACACTTTGAAAACATAAGATGTGAAAATATGACAATTTTCCTTTAAGCCAACTACCTTGAAAGTTATATTCATGTGTACTTTTGTTTTATTAAATATTCACTCAAGTGATGTGATGTTATTAAAAACCATTTTGGCAGCCTATTCATGAACTCGTTCATTTATTTCTAGTGTAAATGATGGCAAATCTAGATGACAGGTTAAGCCATATGCGACACCATAATTCAGATTTAGTAGAGAAGACCCTAATCTAGTAACTACATTAAAATCGTGTATTTTCACAGGGGACAAGGGTATTAAATGAATGTATTTAGTTTAAAGAAACACTATAGTGTTATAAATGTTTATTCCTAATGCTATAATGCTGGACTACTTTTAGGTGTCCGGACTTACCTTCTTTCTATCGACACACTGGTCTCTCTGCTGCCAGCCCCACCTTCTTGCTCAGATTATCAATCTCGATGATGATCAATTCTTTCCATTGGGAGCCTACTGCACATGTACAGCAAAACACTGTCTGCCCAAATCAGCATCTCCTCATAATGATACATTGAATCGGTGTATCTCTTTGGAGAGCATTCAGCATCTTCATGCAGAGAGTGGAGATGCTGAACATAGGTCCTACAAAGATTGCACGACCTAACCCAGGAAGTCCGTCTAGTGAATGTCTGAGTGACAGCCAGTATCAGTGTTACTAGGCAGCAATGAAAACACTCTGAAAAAGCCGTGTTTTATATAACTGATCCTGCAGGGACATGCTATAGACACTTAGCCCACTACATTAAGATTTAGTCATTCTGGTGTTTATAATGTCCCTTTAATATAACATGGTCTTAAAATACAAGAAGGATACCTATAAAGAATATACATGAAAAAATATGTAAAAAATTTTTAAAATCTTCCAGAATGATAACAAATTTTAAAAAAATAAAATAAGGATACCTGTGATACTGACATTGATGTTGAATTTTGCGTCACGCTTACTTAATTTGTTGGATACACAGCATGATGGAATTAAATTACCTATATAGGGTTTCAGTATCTTACCATTATTTACCTTTACAAACCAAACAGATCCCTATTCTGAGTATTTTAAACACATGTTGCTTTTCTCCATAAATGAGGACACACCTAAAATCCTACACTGATTTCCCACGAGGTCTTCCAATTGATAGACATTTAGGTTAATTTGGCTTTATGAGGACAATTCTAATTTGCTGGGAGACAGGAGTAACCAAGAAATATTACTGGAGTTACATGGAAAGAACAGTTCTGGGACAAACTTTGAAAAGTGGAGCAATCAACAGAAAATATTCCATTAATCTCCAAAATGAATGTTATACTTTTAGAACTTTCCCTCGGAATTTGCTTTTTATAAATAACCCAGTTGTGTATGATCTCTTTGCTAGGACTATTTTAGGTCCCTGAAGACTATAATGAAACAAATACAAAATAAATGCTTAGTAAAGGCTTCACTTTTCAGAAGTTTTTTACATTATTGTCAGATGTTAATTGGTCTGAGGAACAAAACATTTGCTGAGTATTGCAGAAACTTTCACTGTGAAGGCATGCTGTCTCTTTTACTGAAAAGTCTTGGCAAGCCTTTTATCTTAGGTAGTTCTTTTGCTTTAAATTCTTGGCTTCCGCATTGTAATTCAAGTGTCTTTTCTGACTTTGTCTTTCAAAGCAAGGCAAACAATTAGATTTATGTTGATGTGCTTGCCAGAACCTATTTTATATTTACAGCCTTGGTGGATAACCTGACTGATTTTAAGACCAGGTAATGCCAAAAGAAAAAATGATCTCCCCACATTTCATCAATTTGACAGCTTGATTTTTCTGTCTTAATTGTTTTAATTAATAATAATTTATAAAAACTGCAATAATTACAC